CAGGAAAGATTTTCTTTAGTATTTCTTATAGATCAGTTCTGTTGGTAACTTCTTTTGTTTATCTGGAAATGTCTTCATTTTGCCATTATTAAAGTTTCACTGAATGTAGAATTCTTGGTTGACAGGTTGCTTTCTTTTAGTATTTTGACTGTGTGTCATTCCAGTATTTCCTGACCTCAGTTTTTGTGTGTGTGGTGTGTGTGTGTGTTGAAAATTCAGCCAACAGTACTGTTATTCATTGGTACATGATGTGTCATCTTTTTCCTTGCTGCTTTGAAGATTTTTCTTTTTGCCTTTATTTTTCAGCAGTTTAATTCTGATTTGGCTGGTTGTCTTGGTATCCTTCCTGTGGTCTGTTGAGCTTCTTGTATGTGTAAACTAATGTTTTCCACCGAATTTGGTAATTTTAAACACATTTCTCCAGATTTCTTTTGGCTCCTTCCCCCCGCCTTTCTAAACTCCAATTACACGTATACTGGAATGCCTAACTGCTCCACAGATCTTGAGATTCTATTTTTTTAATAATTTTTCTTTTTGTTCTTCAGGCTGAATAATTTCTGGTGATATATCTTCAAGTTTACTGATTCTGATTTTGCCTTCTGCTGTCTCAAATCCACTAATGAGCCCATCTGGTGAAATCTTCATTTCAACTTTAGAATTTTCATTTGGTTCTTTTATTTTTTAATATACATAAAATAAATGTTACTCTTTCTTTAAATTTTGAAAAAGGCATAGAGTAAGTTAACTGCCACCACAATCATGATACAGAAAAGTTCCATTACTCTCAAAAATTCTTCTTCCTGCCTCTTTATAGTCAAACTGGTTCTTTTTTTTTTTTTCGGTATGCGGGCCTCTCCCGTTGCGGAGCACAGGGTCCGGACGCACAGAATCAGCGGCCATGGCTCACGGGCCCAGCCGCTCCGCAGCATGTGGGATCCTCCCGGACTGGGGCACAAACCCGTGTCCCCTGCATCGGCAGGCGGACTCAACCACTGCGCCACCAGGGAAGCCCAAACTGGTTCTTTTATATTCTTTTTTCCTCTTTTGAAATTGTCGGTTTATTCACTTGTTCCTTAGAGTATTTTCCCTTAGTTTTTTTAATATGTTTATAATAGCTTCTTTAAAGTCTTTGCTAAATCCAACATTTGCACCCATTTGGAGTCAGTTTCTATTGACTGATTTTGTTCCTTAGTATAGGTCACATTTTTTTCCCTTATATGTCTAGTGATTTTTGGTTGAAAGCTCTACATTGTAGACAGTACGTTATAGCGTCTTTGGATCCTTTTGTTCCTTCTGAGAGTTTTTGTTTTAGAGGCACTTGCTTGGGCTTAAACTGTGACATCTTTCTGTCCTGTGGAGTGTCATCACTAATATCTCTGCTTAGTTTTGTTTGTTTGGTTAAGCCTGGCTATAGATGTGAACTAATGATTTGGACAGAGGTTTATTAGACACCTAAAGCCAGTATGACTTCTCTTTGCCACCTGGATTGTGCATGTCTCAGAACACTTTAAAAGCATAGGAAATTTGCAAGTTTCTCCAGCCTTTCAATCACTGCTGGGCTCACTAGGGTCTCTTTTCACAAATATTTTAGCAGTCAGATGGGAATGTATGGCAAGTTCCTTATCTCAACCTTTCTATGATTCTTTTGCTTACAAATTCTCCTTGTTAAATTCCTAGCTGCTCTACTATCAGCATAAAACTGTATCCTGTGGATTTGTGTTATCTCTCAGTGCCCCATAAACTAGGGGTGCGAGACAGGAAAACCTTAGGAAAGAATGCCACAAACTCCCCATTCTTACCTAATGAAGTAGAAGTTTTTGACAAGTAAACACTTTTCACCTTGTGGCCTGCCTTTGGTAGTTTTCCAGTGCCCTGAATTGGTTGTTTTTAAAATTATTTTATTCAGTTTTATACTTGTTTTCTGAGGAGGGGAAGTCCGTGACTACCTCATGCCACCATTATCAGAAGTAAAGTCCATCTTTAGTTACTCACCCAATACATTTACATGTTTTGTTGTGTTTTAAATGGGCTGTTGCCCGCCCAGTTCTATGTCTTCATGGACCATCCTGGATCATCCATTTGTTTCACCTCTTCTGTCCTCTACTCAATCTTTATATCTGTTTGATTTTGTCTCTACAATTTTATTCTTTCAGACAGGGAGACTAGACTTGACACACATCAATTGGATGCACTTGGAGATGTGTACTTTCATAAGGACATACTGGAAAGTGTCACAAGGGATCATTCATTGTACTCAGTTTTAAAGGTCTGGCAAGGCGACCAGCTGGAGAGAGATCAGGAAAATCAAGACAGACTTCTCAGGCAAGTCACAATCAGCAACAACAAAACAGTTATTGAAGAGTCAAACTATACATATAATGCATTTGGAAAAATATTTCATAACTGCACAGACCTAGATACTTCAAGACAAAGACTGGATAAGTGTGATTCATTTGAAAAGAGCTTGGAACCTACTGTAAACCTATTCAGTTGTAATAGGGGTTATGCAAGAAAAAACACAGATGAGAATTTTGGATGTGGGAGAACACCTAGTTCTTCCTATTCTAAGCATGAAAAAATTCATAATAGAGTGAAACACTGTGCAGATAGTCAGTATGGAAAAATCATCAGCAATAAACAATCTCTTATTCAATATGTGAATGTTGAAACTGGGGAGAAGATCTGTGTATGTATTGAATGTGGAAAATCTTTTCTCAAGAAGTCACAGCTCATTATACATCAAAGAATTCATACTGGAGAGAAATCTTATGGTTGTAGTGCTTGTGGGAAAGCCTTCAGTGAGAAATCACATCTCATTGTACATCAGAGGACACATACTGGGGAGAAACCTTACGAATGTTCTGAATGTGGAAAAGCCTTCTCTCAAAAATCATCCCTCATTATCCATCACAGAGTTCATTCTGGTGAAAAACCGTATGAATGTAGTGACTGTGGGAAAGCCTTCTCCCAGAAATCACCCCTCATTATACATCAGAGAATACATACTGGTGAAAAGCCATATGAATGTAATCAGTGTAGGAAGGCCTTCTCCCAGAAGTCACAGCTGATTATACATCATAGAGCTCATACTGGAGAGAAACCTTATGAGTGTACTGAATGTGGGAAAGCCTTCTGTGAGAAGTCCCACCTCATCATACATAAAAGGATTCACACTGGAGAGAAACCCTACAAATGTGCTCAGTGTGAGGACGCCTTCAGTAGAAAGTCAGAACTCATTATACATCAGATAATTCATACTGGGGAGAAACCTTACGAATGTACTGCATGTGGGAAGACTTTCTCCCGGAAGTCACAGCTCATTATACATCAGAGAACGCATACTGGAGAAAAGCCCTATAAATGCAGTGAATGTGGAAAAGCCTTCTGTCAGCAGTCACATCTCATTGGACATCAGAGGATTCACACAGGAGAAAAACCTTATGTTTGTACTGAATGTGGGAAAGCCTTCTCTCAAAAGTCTCACCTCCCAGGACATCAGCGGATTCATACAGGAGAGAAACCTTATATATGTGTTGAATGTGGCAAAGCCTTTTCCCAGAAGTCAGACCTTGTTGTACATCAGAGAATTCATACTGGGGAGAAACCTTATCAATGTGCTGTATGTGGAAAAGCCTTCATCCAGAAATCACAACTCACTGTACATCGGAGAATTCATATAGTGGTGAAATCATAAGAATGGACTAAGCATAGAAAAGCCTTCAGTATCTGTTCAAGCCTTAATAAGTACCACAAAACTCACAGATTTAATGTGTTTCTGGGCATCTTTGTTGGTACTATTTTACAAGTGAAATCATATTTCCAATGTATTTAATTTTTTTATCAAAGATAATACAAGACAATAAAAAAGTTTTGTTTATATAAATTTTCACTTTGGTATGTTAAACTTTTAAGATTTGGAACTGAATGATTAGCATAACAGAACAAATTACATATAGTCTATTTTGAAGTTACATGTTCCTGATTATACTACATAATAAGTTAGGCATGTGGTAATATTGTTAATGTTAGCCTCTCGTAATTACGGCCATACAGTAATTCCCCAAAGAGGACATGAAGAAAGCATGAGTCAAAAAGTGCCAAGACCTAGAAACTGCACTAAGGGGAGGGGACTTGACCATCAGACCCTAAAAGTATATGTAAAATTCTTCTTATAGAATGATGGAAAGATGGGTTGAAAAGGTTCAATAAATGTGGTCTTTTTGTGTTTTTTAATTTTGATAATATAAGTTGATTTGTGTCTGTGGATGGACCCAGGACCTTGGAATTGACACTGGCTTGCTCATTTCTCCCTTTTACCCTGCCCTTCTAGGAGCTTGGTGTGGTGGAAAGACATTGGTTCTGAAGTCAGATGGCCATGAGTTTTAACCCTTGTTCCCTTATTAATAGATTGTGTGACATCTATGAAGACCTTTTTAACCCTCAGTGTCTGTTTGCTCATCTGTATGTGAAATCCTGGCAGGCAGCACATTTAAAAAAAAATTTCTGATATATACATTTTAAAGTAATAACTAGAATTATGACTTACAATATTATACCAGAACATATAAGAGTTTTAGAATTTTCATGTAATGTCTGAAACATTTACATTAACATATTTCAATACAGATAACCCAAAGAAAGTTTAGTATTAGTTGTTTTTTTGTTTGTTTGGTTTTTTATACTGCAGGTTCTTATTAGACATCAGTTTTATACACAACAGTGTATAGATGTCAATCCCAATCGCCCAATTCAGCACACCACCATCCCCACCCCACCACGGTTTTCCGCCCTTGGTTTCCATACGTTTGTTCTCTAAATCTGCAGACAGCACATTCTTAGCTAATATTTATCCTATTTATCCCTCTCTCTTCTCTTGAAATAGGCTACTAATTCCAATGTGCACACATTTAAATTTGATTTACATTTAAGACACACTGCTTCTGATCTCAGATTTCCTGTCCTCTCCTTTGTCCATTTCACTGCCTTTGTGTCTGGTGATCTAACTCATGTTATATGTTAAAGAGACCTCAATTACTTTTCATTTATTTTATTTTACAAACACATACAAATTGTGATATATCTATATCGGTATCTAGTTGATTCTAATATATATAGGGAAATACTAAGGGACAAGAATAGGCAAGTCACTCATTAAGAACAAATGTTAGAGAATTGATCAGACTAAGGTTTCCCACAAAGCTGTAGTAATGTAGGCAATATAGTATTGACACAAGAGTGACAAAAATAGATGAATGAAATGACAGCCTGAGAATGAAAAAATTATATATGAGTAACTTTATGACAAAAGTGGTATTGTAATCAGAGGGGAAAAATTATCTTTTTAATAAATTGTTCTGGGTCAATTAATATAAATATGAAATGCAAAATGACAAAGTTTCCAGGTAATTATATAGGAGACTCTTCATAGCCTTAGGATAGGGAAGTATGTTTAACACTGCATGAAGAAAAGATTGATAAAATGGCTTATATTAATATTAAAATTTCTTCTGTGTTAAAAGAAGTGATTAGTTTGGAATACACTTGGATGTATCTAGCAAACTTACAGATGCAATTTCTAAACATTTTTAGGAATCTTCTAAAGATATGTTGGGGAAATATTAAGAGATGCATGCTTGGGACTTCCCTGGCAGCCCAGTGGTTAAGACTTAGCCTTCCAATGCAGGGGTGCAGCTTCAATCCGTGATTGGGGAGCTAAGATCTCACGTCTCAGGGCCAAAAAACCCAAAACATGAAACAGAAGCAATATTGTAACAAATTCAATAAAGACTTTAAAAATAGTCCACATCAAAAAAAATCTTTAAAAAAATGAGGTGCGTACTTATGTTTATTCATCGTAGCACTATTCACAACAGAAAAAAGGCAGTAAACAGCCTAAATGATTATTGATAGAAAATGTTTAAATATAGTATATCTGCACACTGGGGACCGTGCAACTCTAAAAAGGAATGAGATACGTCTTTTTGTACTCTCCAGGCATGTTCTTAAATAAAACAAGGCACAGAGAATTACAGTACACTGTCTTCTAAGAAAGACAGGTAGTGGTGGGAACAAGTGGACATATTTTCTTATATATAAGTACAGATGCTGAAAGGAAAGACCCAAATATTAATGAAAATGTTTTGCTCTAAGGTGACTGAACATGGTAGAAAGGTTAGTGATATCCCTTAGACCTCTCATGAATGTAACTTTGTTTTGTATAATTGACTTTGGAACCATGTAAATAGTATAAATAGTAACAAAACAAAGTCAAAATGAAGTGATACCTAAAAATTTAGCAAAATGAAACTAAACATGTATAGCATTGGTGGTTAACCATACCGAGAAATAATTTCAAGTAACTTTAAACTGTTTGTCTGTTTTTCCCTGGTGGGATATATCATAAGGATAAAGGAACGGCAAAGAAGGTTTTTTTCAGTAAGTGTTCTGTTACTCATAATACTGGTATTGATAATAATATTGGATACATACACATACAGAGAGAAGGAAAAAAATGAAGGAATGGATCAAATAACTACAGTAGTCCCCCCTTATCTGCGGTTTCGCTTTCTGTGTTTTCAGTTACCTGTTGTCAACCTCCATCTAAAAATGTTAAATGGAAAATTTTGTAAATACTTCGTAAATTGCACGTCATACTCAGTAGTGTGAAGTCTTTTCCTGTCCCACTCCCTGGGACATAAATCATCCCTTTGTCCAGTGTATCCTGCCTGTGAAGTCACTTAGTAGTAATTTCGTTTATCAGATCAACTGTCATGGTATCACAGTGCTTGTGTTCAAGTAACGCTTATTTTGCTTAGTAATGGCCCTGAAGCACAATAGTAGTGATGCTGGCAATTAAGATATGCCAAAGAGAGGCTGTGAAATGTTTCCTTAAAGTGAAAAGGTAAAAGTTTTTGACTTAGTAAGGAAAGAAAAAAATTGTATGCTGAGATTGCTAAGACCTATGGTAGGAACAAATCTGTGAAATTGTGAAGATGGAAGAATAATTCATGCTGGTTTTGCTGTCACACCTCAGACTTCAAAAGTTATGGCCACAGTGCATGATAAGTGCTTAAGTTAGGATGGAAAAGGCATTAAATTTGTACAAGGAGATATTTTGAGAGAGAGGCCACATTCAGATAACTTATTACAGTATATTGTTATAATTGTTTAATTTTTAGTTATTGTCTCTTATTGTGCCTAATTTGTAAATTAAACTTTATCATAGGATGTATGTATAGGAAAAAACAGAGCTCAATTTCAGGTATGCACTGCAGGTCTTGAAACATCCCCTGTGGTCAAGGGAGAACTACTGTAGTTATGAATGTCTTTAAGAACCAAAGATTTCAGGTGTATGATAAAAAATTACATACCAAAGATGTTAAGTAAAAACCTTATAATCCTAAATTTGTTTTTCTCCCTAGAGTTATTGAGATATAGTTGACATAGCATTGTGTAAGTTTAAGGTGTACAAAGTGATAATTTGATACATGCAATATATATTTATAATGTCACATTTACCACAATATGGTTAGTCAACACCTTCATCACCTCACATAGTTATTTTATTTTTGTGGTGAGATCATTTAAGATTTACTCTCAGCAACTTTCAAGTATATGATACAGTATTGTTAGCTGTAGTCACCATACTATACATTATGTCCCCAGAACTTATTATATAACTGGAAGTGTGTACCATTTGACCAACATCTCATTTTCCCTGGCCCTCAGCCCCTGGCAGCCACCAAACTACTCTCAATTACTATAAGTTTAGCATTTCCATATTTTATATATGTGGGGTCATTGAGTATTTATATTTCTCTATCTGACTTTACTTACCATAACGCCCTCAGGGTCCATCCATGTTGTCACAAACGGCAGGATTTCCTTTTTTTCCCCTAGTTTTATTGAGATAACTGACATATAACAAACATTGTATAAGTTTAAGGTATACAGCATAATGATATGCATATATTGTGAAATGATTGCCACTATAAACTTAGCTAACATCCATCACTTCCTATAGCTACAGGTTTTTTCCTGTGCTAAGAACTTTCAAGATTTACTCTGTTAGCAACTTGCAAACATATGATGCAGTATTGTTAACTATAACCACCGTGCTGTACAGGAATTCCTTCATTTTTTATAGGTGAATTATATATATATATATATATTAGTCATATGTAGTTTTAAAAAATATATTTATTTTTGGCTGCATTGGGTCTTGGTGGCTGTGCACGGGCTTTCTCTAGCTGTGGTGAGCAGGGGCTACTCTTTGTTGTGGTGCAGGGGCTTCCTTGTTGCGGTGGCTTCTCTTGTGGAGCACAGGCTCTAGGCGCACGGGCTCAGTACTTGTGGCTTGTGGGCTCTAGAGCGCAGGCTTAATAGTTGTGGCGCATGGGCTTAGTTGCTCCGTGGCATGTGGGATCTTCCTGGACCAGGGCTTGAACGCGTGTCCCCTGCATTGGCAGGCAGATTCACCACTGTGCCACCAGGGAAGTCCTGTCATGTAGTTGTAAAAATGACTATTGTGATTAATGCTGCAGTGAACATGGGGGTGTAGATATCTCTTCAAGTAGTGATTTCACTTCCTTTTGATATATATGCCCACAAGCAGGACTTTTTTAGAAACCTCCATATGTTTTCCATAATAGCTGTGCTGATTTACATTCATACCAGTAGTGTATAGGGTTCCCC